ATCCTTATCTCAGAATTCGTAGTTCTCTCTCCCTCACGATTTCGCTCTTGATCGTAGGGTTTGTGACGTTTGCTGCTGTCGTGTGAGATCGGTGCTTCAGTCTCCCATTACAGGTTTGTTCCCTTTTGCTTTGTATCTCAATGCCCCTGCTTCTCTCTCTCAATTTCTTGAATGAATCTATGTTTGTCTATTTTCACTTCTTCTATTATTTTGATTTTGGGGTTCTCTGAAGGATGCTTTTTCCAAACAAATTCCATGCTTGAGTTGGGGAAGATGGGGCCTTTACGGGTTGTTCAGTACAATATCATTTTGAAATGCAAAACTAAAAGGATATGAATTTTTAATGAACACCTAACCTGAATCCACATCAAACGTTTAGGTTAGAACATGGATTTGCCTCTGTATGAGAGGATGCCTGTGCCCATTCACCAGGAATTTATTCATCTTCTCAGTGGGCCTCTTACTTCAAATATTAATAAGAACCCACAGTGACTATTTATGTAAGGTAATAAAATAAGAACACTTCTACTGGTGCATATGAATAAGAGAGGCTTTAAAATCTGTTCCATCTTAAACCCAATACAAGTCACCAATTCTGAGCCTGTTAGTGCCCCTACTATGAGTGTTGACATTTCATCCTTGCCCCCAGGGCATAGAGGTGGCTTATTTGTCATACCTTAACTAACCCACTTCCATGCTGAAGCTTACTGGGATTCTCTTTCATGTAGCCTTGCTCACTGAAGCACCTATTCAGGAGTTGAAATTCTGTCTCACAAAGGAAATGGTCTATTGCATCCAGTATAAGAACACTCTGGAGACAATGTAATGTTAGAAATAGAGGATGCAGTAAGATATTATACCATAAAGCTTAAGGGCCAACTTCTGATTTTTTACGTGTTTGAATGTGAATATAAAAGCATAAATACAATGTAGTAATTGAAAGCACATGCTTTAGTAGTTAAAATTTGCAACCAACTTAATTTAAAATTTGAGAACACATGCTTTAGTAGTTGTATATAAAAAGGCTGTTTGGTTTCCACTTATTTGCAACTTATTTTGTTTAAATTTTGAAAACACATGCGTTAGTAGTTGTACCTAAAATTGTAGGGTGTTTGGTTCCACTTATTTTGTTTTCAGCTTATTTTCCTTTTCAGCTCAAAAAAAGTTTAAATAGTTTAGTTTTTTAAGTTGGGTTTTAGATGGTTTTTTAAGCTAAGAGAGTGTTTGGGTGTACTACAAAAGTGCACTTTTTATTTTTGATCTTTTTATCTTGGGCGAATTATACTAACGCTCCCTATAGTTTGAGGTTTGTGTCACTTTGGTTCCCGACTTTTCAATTGGTTCATTAATAGAAAATTTGGAGGCAGTGGCTGGATGTAATTTGTGGTAGGGCTTTTTAGGAGAGCTGAAAATCCCTTTTAGATAAACATAGAAGTTTCATCAAAGAGGGGGTATTGATTGGTGTAGTGGTAAATGCTTGAGTTCCCGTGTATGAAAATATGGGTTGGAATTATAAATGTAGTCCCTTCCCACAAATATTACAGAGGTTAGGCCTGTAGCCACCCTTAGTCCTTCCCTATGCCCTTAATTTGTAGGAGCCCATTAGGTAATGTCCTTTAAGAAAGATATTGGAATGAATTGGAATGGTACATTGCCATGCCAACTGCCTTTTACCATTTAATAGACATTAAAAAAATATATATTTTCTTGTTTTTTTGTTGATAAATGTAAAAAACACTTAACTTAATACATAATATATGCAATATAATAGAACTTTAAAGGATTTGTTGGTCGAAACCTTGATACAAAATTAAAAAAGCCTATAGGTAGATGCACCTTTATTGACGATGATGTGTCACTCTACACTTATATTAACTACTTTGTCTTCATGTTTAAAGAATAAATAAATAAATAAATAAATTAAAAATAAAAAATAAAAAATAAAAGGTTGTGTCCTGTTGATATTAACTACTATCTTATGATCAGACATGGACAGGAGTTGGATGTTAATTTCTGATAGATTCAGTCAGCCATATGTAGATGGGGTGAACTCATTTATTGAATTTGCAAAGGCTCATTTGGGTGAGGCTAGAGAGATTAAGTGCCCATGCATCAATTGTTGTAACTTTTATAAGCAGGAGTATGATAGTGTGAAGGCTCATTTGCTCATAAGTGGGATGATAGTATCATACACCACTTGGTTAGAACACGGTGAACTTCCAGAACACAATAACCTTGATGAAAGCAATGGTGAGAATGATGAGGATGAAGATGAATATGATGAACTGATAGAGGACTATCAGAGGGGGAATTTTATGGAGGGTGATACTCTAGAAAGAGAGGATGTACGACATTTTGATAAATTGCTAGATGCTTCCCAATGTTGCTTGTACCCAGGTTGCAAAAACTCAGATACTTTGTTATCATTCGTTATTCAGATGCTACATGTGAAGGTAGAAAATAGGTGGAGTAATAAGTCTTTTGACAAGGTTTTGGAGATACAAAGGCGATTCTTACCAGAAGGCCACGTGGTGCCAGGGTCAATTTACGAGTGCAAGAAGTTGCTACGTGACTTGGGCTTGGGGTACGAGCTCATCGATGCATGTAAACATGATTGTGTACTATTCTGGAAGGAGAATGCTCACTTGGAAAAATGTCCCACATGTCAAGCATCTAGGTACAGAGTAAATGATAGCAAGGGTAAGAAGATCCCTCACAAGATATTGCGTTACTTCCCATTGACACCTAGGTTGATAAGATTGTACATGTCTAGGAAGATGGCAAAAGACATGAGATGGCATAGTGATAAGCGTGTGGATGATGGTGTAGGGAGGCATCCAGCTAATTGTAAAGAGTGGAAGGAATTTGATTTGCATTATCCAGAGTTTGGCCAGGAGACTCGCAATGTTAGGTTGGGCCTAGCCACCGATGGGTTCAACCCTTTTGGGAACATGAGCACTTCCTATAGCATGTTGCCTGTCATACTCATGCCCTATACGGATGGGGTTTGTATGGAGTCTCTCTGCTTTGTTGAAGCCTCTCTTGTTGCTGCTAATGTGTTGCTGCTAATGGGGTTTGTTGTTGTGCTGCTCTTATGCTGCTGCACTGCTGGGGTTGCTGATCTAGTGTATTTTGTTATTCTGTTCTGGTCTTTTTTGTTCTGCTTTTCTGTTCTTTTGTTCTGCTCTGTCGTAATCTTTTGTTTTCTCTATTGGTTTCTCACCAACTAGGAGGTTGGAGCTTTGATTAGCTCCAAGCTCCTCTTTATTGATGTATCCTTCATTTTGTATGGTTTTAGCATCAATAAAGTCTTTCGTTTTGCCGATCAAAAAAAATGAAGACTGGCTATGCTGTGACAGCTATCATTTTTTTGGCATGGAGAAGTTAATTGCAGTCATAAATTATGGTTTGGTTTGTTTCACCGTTAACCCATCATCTGAATAGACCACTTCGGGTTAGAGAATTAGTCATCCAATTTCGAGCACAATATTGTTTGAATTGACTGCTTCTTTTGTTTGGTTTGGAAGTCGAGTTCCAGTTTTAATTGGATCTCGTTGCTGTGCTTCATTTCTCTTTTATATTGTTTGAGCTTACTAGAGAATTACCAATTATGAACATTTTTCTGCAGCTTGTCTTGTATATTTTCTATTGATGTGGATATTCATGTATATATGCACTTTTAACTTTTGTAGGTTGACACGCTACAAGGGTTTCAAGGAAGGGCACAAGAGGATACTTGTGGCAACAGATCTGGTTGGTAGGGGAATTGACATTGAACATGTTAACATTGTCATCAACTATGACATGCCAGATTCAGCAGACACTTATCTGCACAGGGTAGGTCTAGTGTTTTTTAGCTTGTCTTGTATCATATGCTGGGAACTCATTTTTTGGAACTCGGTTATTTGAGGGATCAAAAACTTAGGATAGTGACAGGCTTTTTTTACTATTTTTTCATCCTTGCTTGGAAAAAATAGATAAATAATATGGAACCATCAAATGCTGCACGACTGCATGTGTCATTTAGTGAACAACTATATTGTTTGGGTCTAGAGATATATGAAGCAAAGGAAACCTTGGTTCCTGATGATTAGTTGGTGTTAAGACACGAAGGTCGCAGTTAAAAGTGCAAGTGTTTCGACTTTGTAAATGCAGGGTTTGTTTGTTTGTTTGTTTGTTTTTTTTTTTTTTTTTTTTTAAAAAGTTAGCCACCTCTCTAGGTGCAGTCCAATTTCTTTGTCAAAACAGTAAAAATGTTAGTTATGGCATTTGCTTTGGTGAGTGAATTAGCATAGGATTTGATGAACCTGACAAGTAATAAATAAATGCATCAGTTCAAAAGCATGAATGCAAGATGATTTGGTTGAAACTTAAGAGGGTTCATGGGTTATTCAATATGATAAGTGATCTCAGCAAGTATGCAAGTTATTGAATTATTCATAATAGAAGTGGGTCCCTCATGTTTGACAATTTGAGGAACCAGATAGCTATGTTTTCACTTTTTTGTGTTCATGTCAGATCTTTGCCCCTGCTCACAACAGCTGTAGAGGATGGTATTTTCAGTGATAGCTGGCGTATCCGACAAAGTTCTGTAGAATTGTGGGTGATCTCTTGTTCAAGGTATATGCTGCTCGTCCTTTTCAAAGTTAGCTTTGTGGAATTTCTTCTTGCTTTTTCCTCGACATGGTCTATTTCTTCTAGGTTGCTGGAACCTCTGGAAAAGCACTTCTTGAGGGTGGTAGTGATGATGAAGGAGCAAGTACTGAGGCACAAGGGCGTGCTATTATTGAGGTTCTCGGAAGAGAAAAGCGTAATGAAGTTCTTGCCGCATTATACACGGTTCGAACTGATGTGAGCTTAACAGTGCGCCAGGTAATGCTGCTGTCAATATAATGGATTGCTTTGCTTGTTAATATTTTGCTGCCTTTTGGTTTTTGGACAAGTAGACTGTAAGTGTGTTCCTCTCTCTCTCTCTCTCTCTCTCTCTCTCTCTCTATCTCTCTAGTGCAGGCTGCATTACATGTGTGGAAGACCATAGTTGCAAATACTCCCAAGACTCTGAAGGAAATAATGCCAGTTTTGATGAATACTTTAATTACTTCTCTTGCATCATCATCCTCTGAAAGGAGACAGGTCTGCTATTCTTCTTGTAGTGTTTTCTAAGCTATGATAGGGTTTTGTATAGTCCCAAATAATAAATTCAGTTGCTCTTGTATTTTCAGGTTGCTGGACGATCACTTGGTGAGCTTGTTAGAAAGCTTGGCGAAAGAGTTCTACCTTTAATCATTCCAATTTTATCACGAGGGCTAAAAGACCCTAATGCTAGCAGAAGACAAGTGAGGCTTTTGACCTTTAAATTCTACTTTGTGGATCTTATTTTCTTGTTTGCACTAGGCTTGATGAGAATCTCTGAAGACATGGCTGACAAATAGGTTTCTCTTGTTTTGGTAACATTTTGGGTTGACTTATTGCAGAAAAAATATATGTTGGCAACATTTTCCTTTTTCCTTTTTTCACTTGTTATTGTTTACATTCTTGATGTTGTTTTAAATTAGTATGGATATCATGACTGTTTATCTTAATTAATAGCGTAGCATAGGCAATGTAAACTGTAGTAGTGATCTAAGAAGCACATACACACTTCTAAGAGGTGACATGTCCTTGTTGACACTGAAATGTCAGATCTTTCTAGACCCAGAAATGCTTCGGACAATTGGTATACACAAGTGTCCATCATGTAGGCACATATAAAAGACATTATAAGTGTGAACAAAATAACATAGGATACAATGATAAAGAAAACAATTTAGATTTATATCTATTAATCTCTCCTTTTTTAATTTTTGTTTTAGTCCGCAAATCTAATTTTCTCTCCACCAACAGGGAGTATGTATTGGTCTGAGTGAAGTGATGGCCAGTGCTGGTAAGAGTCAGTTGTTGAGTTTCATGGATGAGCTCATTCCTACCATCCATACAGCCCTTTGTGATAGGTTTGTTAATCAATTGCTCTGATTTGCTGGTTCACCTAATCTATTCCATTTCTCTCTAATCTTTGGTGTATGCTATATTATGTTTCTTGTATTTCTTTAATAGCATGCCCGAGGTTCGTGAGTCGACAGGCTTAGCATTCAGCACAATTTACAAGGTGGTCTTTCCTAATTTTTTTAATTTTATTTTTAACATGGTACTCTGGAGCGGAAAAATGTATAATAAATTGCCCTAATGTAGAGTGCCGGATTGCAAGTAATTGATGAGATTGTCCCAACACTCTTGCATGCTTTGGAGGATGATGAAACCTCTGATACTACCCTTGACGGCCTCAAACAAATCTTAAAGTAAGATATTCCACTTCTTAGATTAAATGCTGGACTTCTTGTTGTTTTTTAGCTGTTTTGTGGTCCTTAAATTTCTTTGCATGTTAACTTCAGTGTCAGGACTGCTGCTGTTTTGCCTCATATCTTGCCCAAGCTGGTCCATCCTCCTCTTTCGTATGCATAGAGACCTCCATTTTTGGTAAACTGATACAGTTTTTAATCCTATTTTTTTCTAACACCTTTGGATATGTATCCAGGGCCTTCAATGCACATGCTTTGGGAGCTCTAGCTGAGGTTGCAGGTCCTGGTTTGGACTTCCAGCTCAGTACTGTTGTTCCAGCTTTACTCACTGCAATGGATGATGATAACATGGATGAAACTCTATAATTATAACTTGTTTTGGTAGTATTTGTTTTTGATATCATCTTATATTTCTTGCTTTATTTTAATCCTTTTACTATGGTAATCAATAATTCTCCGGTGCTCTTTGAAAATTTAGGAAGTCCAAAATTTGGCAAAGAAGGTTGCAGAGACTGTTGTCTTAGTCATTGATGAGGAAGGCATAGATCCATTGATATCAGAACTTCTTAAAGGGGTTTGTGATCATCAGGTATGTTTTTGCTAAATTTTTTGGTTAATATTGCTTTCATCCTCTCTGTTCATCTCTCTTTTGTGACTGTTTTTTGGTTGCAGACTTCAATTAGATGCAGTTCTTCATATCTACTTGGATACTTATTCAAAAACAACAAGTTATATTTGGTTGATGAAGCTCCGAATGTGATAACCACCCTGATTGTTTTGCTCGGTGATTTAGATTCAGCTACAGTTGCGGTAATTCCATATAAATAATCTGTGGTTTTCTTTTGCTCCTCTGTGGTGCATGTTGTTTCTTGCCATTTGTTCAACAGGTTGCTTGGGAAGCTTTGTCTAGAGTTGTCGGCTCAGTTCCTAAGGAAGTCCTTCCTTTATATATAAAGTTAGTTCGTGATGCAGTTTCTACATCCAGAGATAAAGAGCGTAGGAAAAGGAAGGTTAGTATGGTTTTATTGCAGTATAAATAATCACTCGCAGATGACACTATGAACCATAATCACTATAATTTCCTTGGGCCTAATTTTTTTTGGGGGCATCCTCAAATTAATCTTTTTCTTACATGCAAGAAGGGCCAATTCTTATATCTGGATTATGTCTCCCTAAAGCTCTTCAACCATTGCTTCCTATCTTTCTCCAGGTATGCTTGTTCATCTCATTCGTCCGAGCTCTTATATAATATTCTTGTAGTGGTTGTGGCTTTATTTTCCAATCATAATAAGATGCTTTTGGATAATAAATATTTTTTTCACTTTAATGGGGACCACACCAGTGTCATGCATATTTTGGGTAATAGCCTAGTTTTGGGATGGTAGATAAGATATGGGATTATCAGCTGGGTTATACTTGCTCTTATTTTAAAGTATAATCTGTGGCTATTTGGTGAAAATGAAAATTTGCCATTAATTATTTAGTGGTGTGTTAATAACGTCAGAGACAGTTGATGAACTATTTAGTTTGAAAGAATGGAAGTACGCAACAAAACAAAAAAGAAAAAAAAAGGGAAAATTATTAATAATTGTGATGTCGAATCGTATCTATCTTGGTAAATGTAGACATAATTATGCGTACACCTTGCCTTGTCATGCCTATGGCTTATTCTCTATTGTGGATTCTGACTTGCTTTCACATCTCTAGGGTCTTATAAGTGGATCAGCAGAACTGATGGAGCACGCTGCTTAGGGTCTTGGGGAATTGATTGAAGTGACAAGTGAACAAGCCCTTAAGGAGTTTGTTATCTCTATTACAGGGTATTTATGGAGACTTATTAGTATATGCGAGTTGTAGCTCAATATTTTCAGTCAGATAATAGAAACACCTGCTTGTGAACCTAGTTTAAATCATCCAACTGAAGAATTTTAATCCCAACGAGAAACTAAAGATATTGGCAAACAATAAGCTTGAGATGGTTTTAGGATTCTACTTATATTCAAATCATGAATCGAAAAATTTGGCACATGCTAAAAAAATGACACTGAATCAGAAGATTTGAAATAAATATAAAAAATTGTTGAACCTTGGAATTCTTTTCGATTGCTTATCCATGCTGACTTTGGTGTTGATGTTTTCTTTTATTGCAGGCCTCTGATCCGGATAATAGGTGATCGGTTCCCTTGGCAGGTGAAGAGTGTGATTTTGTCAACTTTGACCATCATGATACGGAAGGGTGGGATGGCCTTGAAACCCTTTCTTCCACAACTTTAAACAACATTTATCAAGTGTCTACAGGATAATACAAGGTTGGTTTGAATTTTTCTTTCCAGCCTATTTGGACAATCGGAAGGGACTTTAATGTGTTGTAAACAATTATCTTATTATACATAAAATTGTTAAATTCGTTAATTTTAGACTACTCATGATAACTTTTGTTTGTTTAGTTGGTTTATTTGACTAACTTTTATTAATTGTTTGGGATCAAACAACCCAGGAATATGAGAGAGGGCAAAAAAGCTAATTGGGTTTTGGTTTAAAGTTGTCATTGATCAATAGAGGTTGCTACCTGATCCTCTTTTTTGCTGGTGGCTGATGTTGCTGCTTGCTAGTTTGGTGTAGCTATTGGTCTGCTGTTGCTGCCGCCAGTGTGTTGCTGCAGAATTTTGCTGGGCTGCTGCTACTGCAATGTTGCTGTGAAGCGGGCTGCTATTAGATGCTGGTCTATTACAAATTTGGGTTGTTAGTTTCATGTTTTCATTTTGTTATCTGCTGTTTTTACTATGGGTTCACAATTTAGATGTATTTGAGTATTTTAGTGAGTTTATCCTTTTAGGTTTTATACAACGCTTCCAAAAACCATATTTTTTAGCAGTGTTTTTTTGCCTACACATCAACTTTAGGTGATTTAATATAAATGTTATTAGTTTGTATTAGTAGTGCCTAAGGGATGCCTCTTGTAAATATGTAAATCTTATAAAAAAAATATATATGATTTTCAATTTTTTTTGTCGCTACAAATTTGTCATTGCCAAAAAGTAAAACTTTCTCGACAAACAACTTGTCGGTAAATGTGTAGCCAAAAGTTTATTTTTGCCCACTCATATTATGTTAAAAGTGTATTTTTTGCCAATGCCAATTTGTCGTTGCCAAAAGTAAAGCTTTATCGACGACCAAATCGTTGCCGAATGCCAACATTTACCGACGTAAATGTGTTGCTAAAACTTTACTTTTGCCCACTCATATTGTGTTGGTACAAGTGTATTTTTTGCCAATGCCAATTTGTCATTGCCAAAAGTAAAGCTTTAGCGACAAATAAATCGTTAGCAAATGGCAACATTTACCAACGTAAATGTGTCGCCAAAAGTTTACTTTTGCCGACGCATATTGTCTTGCTAAAAGTATATTTTTTGCCCATGTAAATTGGGTCGCGAAAAGTGCCACACAATCATCATATTTGAATGACTTTTACCAACGCAACATAAATTGCCGACGATGGAGGAAGGATTTTATCGACGACTATGTTCGTCGCTAAAGGCATTACTTTTACCAACGCAATGATAATTTCATCGGCAAAAAATTTTGATGACTCACTTTTGCCTACGGGTTGCCAACGCAGCTTTGTGTGTCGACAAAACTCTTTGCCAACGAATTTTCCCTTTTAGCAACATATTTTGTTGCGTTGCGAAAAATGCAATTTCTTGTAGTGATTCCATATATTTTTATATTGCTTTGAATAATATAACTGTGATATCTTGTTTTGTATGTTTGCTCATTTTTGTTAGACGGTTGTACTCTTTCTCATTGTAACACCCACTTTTTCCCATTGTAACACTCAATATAAACCTAGTTGATGCGGCGTGTGGCATGTTCCATCACAAGAAAGAATTCTAAAAAGAAGGATTCGAAAAAGGATATAGTGTACTTTTTCTTACTGTGACACTCACTGTTTTCTATTATAACACCCATTTTTTTCCACTAGCTAATGTGACATGTGGCATGTTCCACAGCAAGGAAGGGTTCTCAAAAGACTATAGTGTATTTTTTTTCACTGTGACACCCACTTTTTCCCATTGTAATACCCAACAAAACCCACCTGATGTAACATGTGATCCCACAAGGAAATGTTCCAAAAAGGCTATAATGTACTTTTTGTCACTGTGACACTCACTTTTTCTCACTGTAACATCCAATAAAAACACAACAAAAGATTGAGAGAGCACTGATGTGACATGTTCCACCATAAAGAAGGGTTCTAAAAAAGCTATAGTATACTTTTTCTCACTGTGACACCCACTTCTTCCCACTGTAACACCCAACAAAAGATTAAATTTGTCATTACAAATCCAATAGGATCAAATGGAACATAAATTTTTTTTTCAAATTATCTGAATCACAATTTTAATGTTTAGGATTTATTGGTCAATCTCCTTTTTTTTTTAATATTTTTTTATTATTGTCATTAGTAAATTTTTTTTAACCTAATAAAGAAAAGATTTAAATTGAAATATCATCTAATAAGATAGCCCCTCATCCATTAAGGACTCTTAAGTCTCTCCCTCTCTCTCTTATTATTCAGTAAAGAATATTTATAAATGTCTAGATAATTGAATTAATCTGGATAATAAATCATATAAAAAAAAGCTATCAAGACATTTCAAAACCAACACAAACAACAATTATAAGAAAGATGGCATAATAGGCGAATAGTTAAACAATAAATAAAACCCTCTCATAAGGAGTAAATAGTCAATTTTGGTTCATGATTTTCTCCTTTACCTCTTATTGGGGAATTCTATTTCCATACACTTAATTATCTTAGTACACATCTTCTCTCAGTACACATACTTATTAATTTGATTATTAATTAATTTTCTTAATCCACAAACTAAAAGTTACAATTATACCCTTCACTCATAATCATTGTACACACACACCACTCAGCATTTCTTTCCACACTTTATTTTTATTTTTATTTTTTTTATGCTTTTCAGTTTGGAAATTTCGGCACTAGCTTTCCGAAATTATACATTTAATTCGAAACTTAACATCTGAATAAAAGTGATTAGTTCGACAAATTTATTCCAAAAAAAAAAAAAAAAATTGGCAGTTGATGTCCGAATATAATGAAATAATTTAGCACTAGTTGTCTGACTGAGAACCGCAAAAGGAAAAAAAAAAAAAAGTTCTCCACAATGAAATAATTTAGCATTAGTTGTCTGACTGAAAACCGCAAAAGGAAAAAAAAAAAAAAAAGTTCTCCACGAAAAAAATAATCTTTTTTTTTTATCACCAATAGAGTATAAATTTGGAGATTAAAACAATATGAGAGTTGTTATAAGAGTATTGATTTGCA